TAAAGACCGTATATTTATCTGGGTTTTGTATATTCGTTATGAATTAATCAATAAATAGAGAGTTGTTTGCAGTATTATGAAATAATCGTCCATGGGAGCCTAAGGCCCAAATATACAGAAATACAACTTTTAACAATAAGGGCAGTGCTTCATGGTTTGAGGATTCTGAATGATGTCATGAGGTTATGATGGTGGAAGGTGATTCATTGAATATTATTATTGGCAGAGAATTTGCTCTTGTCTATTGAGAAACAAATCAAGAGGCTAACCTACTGGCTAGGCGTGGTGCTTTTAATTCTTCCCCTATTTTATAATTCATGTGGCCTTCTTGGCTCTCCGGTGGAAGCTAGATTTTGCTATACTATTGTATATTTAAAAGGTGCAGTTTGCATATGGATGCATCCGTAGGTGTAGAGGAAAGGTGTACCTTAAAATTTGGTATATAATTTTGATGTAAAATGTTTTTAAGATTATCTCAAAATATATTTTTATATCTAATTATAAAATTTTAAATTTTAAAATTGGTTAAAATCAAGTAGATCTATAAACATATGAAAATCTTGAAAATGGACGGTGTAGATAATATGTTGTAAAATACACTATTTCTGAGACTTAAAATCTTTTGATTTGTCATATTCATACATCTCGACATCGAGATGATCAATCAAAGGGTTTTTCAACATTAAAACTTATTTTTCCAATGGATTTTTGAGGGGCATCCGTAGTTCTACATTATAAGGTAGCATCCTTATATAAACTTTTTCTTTTTAGAAATTAGTAATATATTTGTTAAAAGTTTAGAAAAGTAATCATATGGCATTTTTTTTGCTGGCACATTTCATTTAAAATTTCTTTGATGTTTGTTTGTTAGGTTGTGGAGGTTACGTCTTTATGGGTCCTAAGAATCATTATCATTGTCGAAGTCTTTTCCTAACTTATTAGGTCTTTGTGGGTCCTAAAAATCATCATCATTGTCAGAGCCTTTTCCTAACTTATTGGGATCAGCTATATGAATTTTGGTACGTCATTCTGTTTTATTGAAGACCGTACCCTTAATGAAGCTATAAGTTCACATATTTTTTCTCACTACTTCCAACCAAATCCTCTTGAACCTACCCTTTGTCATTTTTTAGCCTTCAACTTGAATTAACTCACACCTCTTAACAAGTGTTGTAACATGCGTAGCACATGGCCAACTTATTTAAATCTATTTTATCTCATCTTATCACTTATTGGTGCTGCATTTACCTGAATTTATTCATTTTGAATTTTATTCATTCTTGTCTGGCAACTCATCTAATCAACATCCTCATCTCATTTACAACATTCATTTTATGGGTACATTGTTTCTTGACCGCCCCTATAAAAACAAAGTTGGTCTCGCAATTGTTTTATAGAACTTGTTCTTAGCTTCATTGATATACGATGATCACATAAAACTCCAGTTGAATATCTCCATTTCGTTGACCCAACTCTAATTCTGGTCTAATCAAACGTGTTTTTCTTTTCTTTTCTTTTTTTACTGAACATTGCAGAGAGAGAAGGTTTTATTGTTTGCCACTGTCCCAGTGTAGGCAAAGGAGAATTTGTTCTTCCCAAGGTGCCTCACTGGTAAAGCAAATAAATAAAAATTTAGTGCATCAGAAAGAGAAAGGATATTATTATAATTTCCGAGAGAAATCAAGAAAATATAGGTGCATGAGAGAGAGAGGGTTCTACTATAACTTCCAAGAGAAATAAAGAAAACCAACGAGTGCATTAGTGCGAAAGTGAAAGAGGAGGGAGGGAGAATTTGTTCTTCTCAAAGTCCCTTACTGGTAAAGCAAATAAATAAAAATTTAGTGCATCAGAGAGAGAGAGGATATTATTATAATTTCCAAGAGAAATCAAGAAAATAAAGGTGCATGAGAAATAAAGAAAATCAAGGAGTGCATTAGAGCAATCAAGGCAAGGAGTGCATTAGAGCAATCAAGGAGTGCATTAGAGCTAAAGTGAGAGAAAGAGGGAGGGAGGGAGGGAGGGAGAGGATTCTATCATCACATGGGTTCTCAAGTTCCGGGCTGAGAGAGGAGCCATATTCACCATAGCACGAGTTTCATTCTTATTTCCTTACCCATAATAAAAATGAAGCTCCCTATTATCTACCCTTGAGATACAACTTTATTAGAAAACAGCACAAATAAATAACACCATCCCCTAAATTTCTCATTTTCCTTTGATCAAAAGCGAAAATGCACCCACTCTAACACTCGTTGATTAAAATGCTAAATTCTCACATAAATAACACCATTCCCTAAATTTCTCATTTTCCTTTGTCTTATGTTTCAAATCTGGACCAAGTTTTGTGATCCTCTGCCAATAAAATGTCCAAAATGCACTCACTGCTAGAGGGTATATGGCATAAAATATGCCGAGCACCAGTGACATATTAAAGCAACTTGATCAAAAGCAAAAATGCACTCACTCCAACACTCTTTCATTAAAACGGTATCGGTCTATACATCGAAGACCTCAATCTGAACAATGCAATTAACACAAGGAATTTAAATTTTTCTTTCTCAAATAAATGCAAGTTACTGTACAAATTAAGCTCAAATGAGACTACAGCACCCTTTTAGGGCCCCAGTCGTATTATATGTCCAAACACTATACAATAAAATCAAGAGATGAGATTGCCATTCCCTTTCTAGTTGACAGCATCATTGGCCAACAACTCCATGATGCATAGAGAGAGAGAGATGGGATGCTCATTTCAGTCTTACCCTATGCTTCTTCTGCCAAGAAGAACGAGCTTCATGAAATGGACTGTAAAAACTAAAAAGATCGCGTATGCATCCAAATCCCAACTGAACATAGAAGCAAAAAATCTTATATGGGCTTGTCAAAAATGCTGCTTCTCATGTATATCTACAATGACATCATGCAACTCTGGGAAAATGGAGACAAGCAAAAGTTCCAAGATGCCATAACCAAGCTGCTTTACACAAATGGTAGACTGCGACATAAGAAAATAAAAATATTATTTTACACAAAAGTATTGGAAAGGAGTAAAGAGTCATGCTCAAACCTAAATAAAAATATATAAAACAGGACAATAGAATCCTTACCTGAAGGAAAAAATAAATATCTCTTGCACAACGCCTATATTGCTTGCGCCCAATCAAGCTTACCAAGGTGGATGGGGCACCTCCTGCCAACAGTGGCCTATTATTAGTAGTTCCTAGGGGGAGCTCTCAATTGAAATGAAACCAACACAATCTGGCACTAAATCAGAGAAAATAGAGGAGGATTTTGAACAATCCCTAAAAAGTATGATTATACAAAGATATGTTCCACGCGTGTCCAATAAGTGTTTTCTTTATAATGACTAAGTTTCATTCAGGAGCAAATATGAGATTGGCATAATTTCAGGAGTTGTGATTTTCAATACTCATGAACAGCAGTTAAAAGTGTGCAGTGTGAACACCAGTCCGAATTCCAAAGCATGTTGTGCATTAACACATGAATGATAACCATCCTACTCTAACTCCTGCATACAAACTAATCTTCCTATGCAAAACATCAGGAGAGATGAGGAATTTGTCTCATTACATAGACAAAGACAACCTTAGAGCTTAAAGCATGTATACAAATGACTTGGACCACTTGACGTGAGTGACCTTTCTGTCATATAAATGACAAAATCAACTTCAAATTACAATGATGTATGACAAATACACTCACCCCAACTAGAATAATACAGAACATAAACAATATAAAACCTCCTGAGACTTTTTATTTTCGGTAGTTCAGTGGTAGGAATCAAACTTGAGATGTAGCATTGCTTAACGTCAACTGTTAACCACTCAAGCCCAAGCTCAATTCCTAACCTCCTGAGACTTAATGTTGAGGAAGGCTAGTTTGTCAACAACAAACTAGTGTTGCCTGAAGGTTGTGGCCTTAGTGAACATACTACTTGTCTACTCAATTGGCTCATAAACAAAATGGCAATCAATCTCAATTTGCTTAGTATGCCCATGAAAAACTGTAATGGAAGCAATTACTACGACACTCAGGTTTTGTTAAACATCAAGTGCATGAACACATGTGCACCCACGTACTTCATTTGTCACATAGAGCATTGCCCCTTACAAGGGGTCTTCATTTGTCACATAGAGCATTGCCCCTTACAAGGGATCTTAGTATGGGCCTCAGAAAGGAAGTCGTTGGCTTCTAGTTTTCCACAAAATGAAACGAACCAAAGTGAAATATTTATAGTATATGATTTGTGACAATTAATTCAAAAACCATATAAATAACCAGTTATGTAATAATGAGAATAGATCAATATTCTTACCAAAAATCATCTTTTTGACATCACTAGCTCTGCGAGCTGCTTCAAGTTGTTGCTCAAAGGAGGCAGGCACAGAATCTTTTGGCACGGAATCCCTTCTTGTGCCCTTTAATGTTGTTTCACTGAAGTCTGAATTTCCAGATTTCAGCTGCTTGCCACCCACCTTCATAAAGAATGTACCTTGGGGCCAGAGAACCTTAAAGAGAAAGACATTTAAATTTAATGCAAACATGATGGTTATCTTTGCAGTGATTCTTTGCAACGTTTAGATTATGCATACAGCCGAAAGAGCAAAACAGATCACCCTACCTATCGATTAAAAAAAATAACGAATAAAACATACTATTGCTCTTACTCACATCTTGAACCCATCTAATTCCAAATGCAATAACCTCATCTCTCCGAAGCCAATGGATTTGCCTCAGCAACCAGTCATCGATCGCATCCTCCATCATCAATTGCAAAATTTGCTTCGAGATCCAAAAGACTTGCCTTCTGCATGTAGCACAAGAGAAATACAAGTGCCATCAAAATCTTAATTATAGCCAGAAAAAATTCGATCAGTGGATACATATGCAGGAATTCAGAAAATGCACAGTTGTACTTCCAATTTCACAAGGTAGCTTCAAGATTTGACAGTCTTGAGTGTGTGGTTCATTTGCCCCAAAAAAACAAAAAGGGATCATGTGCATCTTGAATGGCAATATAAGCTGTCAAGGAAATTGAAAAATGTGTGATACTCCTAGACCAGAAGAGAAGGGTTAAAAGAGCATTGTACAAGACCCTAGACCCTAAACTTTAACAGACTCCCCTGATTCTATAAACATATACATCATCAATATGTGAGCTATCACTTATTCTACTAATACCATAACTCAGCAGTAAACTTCTAGCCTACGACTTATGGAAATACATGGGTCAGTGCGAGTTTTTGTCTATTGGCTGCCAAAAAAGTGTGTAGTCCATTCTTCAAGCTTATCGATATGCGATCTTCCAGTAATTTGTCACATCCCACTGCCTAACAACAATTCTCCTAGGAGTTACAATGCTTTTGGCATAAGTTCCAACCTTTATCCTGGGAAACCGCCAATCAGAGAGAAACCTATCCTAGAAAAGATATTGAACACAAGAGACGAGTATCTGTATAAATATTAACAAAGTAGACCAATCCCTAGTCTGACCTACATAATGATACGAGGTTCACAAGAAGGCTGGTACCACAAGTAACTGGGAATCACAAAGTTATGGTTTCTAGGAAATTACTCTAAAAATATAAAGCAAGGCCATCATGACAGAGGGAGACATACAAAGACACAGAAGATGCCAAAATTATGTAGCATTACATGAAACTACCATCCCAGGAATATAAATCAATGAGAATAGACCATCACACAAAGCATTCCCTACGAAATAAGACAGCCCAGAGCCTCTTCCAAGATTAAGCAACTGACCCAATCATTAAATACATAAAGTTGCAATAGAACATAGCAAAGGCCTGAGCAACATCCATAGCAAAGGCCTGAGCAACATCCAGTAAGCTGAGTATTCACTTTTCAACAGATACTAATTCCTTGCACTTACGAAAATCATTTCTAAATAGCCACCCTCCTCCCTACATAATCATATCTAATTCTATTAGGAACTCGGGGTGATGTTGTAACATCAACCCCAACCATAATACGGTAATAGTATGGGGAACAAATGAATTTCCATTTCATAAAAATCCATATCAATTGCTTATTGACTAAGGGGGTCCTACACCACCTTTATAGCCAGCTCTCATCCCAAGTTAGAAGGCAACGAGGAAGTGAACGCCTTCAGACCAATTAGCCTGACAGGAGTGCATCCAAATCCTCAGTAAGGTTGCATAGAACAGGCTACAAAGCATGTCTCGTTTTGTCATTTTCCCTCCTCAAGGAGCACCCATAAGTGGCAGTCAAGTTCTTGATGGATTTCTGGAGGCTCATGAGACAGAGTCAACTTCAGACTGGATGTTTAGTGTCCAGAATACATGCGCAATAAGGATGTAAGGTACCTTGGCCTTGCTTGATAGCGAACAAAACCTTGCGTCTGTGACTCTATCACTAGGTGTCATATAATTTGTGATTACACTACACCATTTAGTATCCCTTTTGATTACCAGCCATTACTCAATGAAATATCACATTCATGTCATATTGAAGGAACGAGCAGAAACATAAAAGTACAAATGATGCCATGTATCAGAAGACAAACATCAGCTAAATTTTTTACCAATCACACACAAGAACACATATTCCTGACTTCATTGAAAACAGAGGGGCGAGCAGCTCTCAAGTAATGAATTGAAAAATCTTGTTCAGCCAACCATGCTATAACAGCCATGAAATGAGACCATGTCACCAGAGGATTTCATAAGTTAAAGGCCAGCATCCAATAGAGTTGACCTTACTAAAGTTACCTGGCCTTAAATACCATAACAGTCATGATTTGAAGGGCAAGTATTTTAAGTTTGTAACACACAGAAGGATGGTTTTGCAATAGAATTATGGCATCAGAGTCATGATACATGATTGTGAGTGAAGTATGCATTTTTTATACTCACTCCCAATTCAAAGATCCAGGCGAAGTTCAAAGATTATTGTCCGCAGGCAGTTTATGTCCATAAACATAAATTGTCCACACTGGACATTTTACGTTTATGGGTATGTCGGGTTGGATTCATGTTTTACACCCTCATTTAATGTCACACACCCCATGCAAAATGCTGGAAGAAATTCTGATAGTTATTGCATCCTTCATTGCTTGTTTTCATTTTTTTTCTTTTTTTTGGGTCACAAGATTATTACTCTATATTTGATGAAAGATACTTCCCCTGCATAAACGTTAACCAGGGAATATGCCCAGATAATAGATACTTTGTGATTACTTCATAGATGTGAGGCTTTAATAATTTGACTTGCACATGATAAAGATTGGGGTCAGTGACTTTTCATTTATGTATTGAGTAATTGAATCAAATCCATAGAAAAATGAGTACATGTAAATGGAGATAACAGATCCATAGCCGTACCTTAGCCAACCTCTTCGGTTAAGCTGAAACATCTTATCGACTAAATTCAACAATGGCACGCTAACATTGGGTGGGGTCCACTACAAAAAGGCAAAACTATGAACATGTCAAATAGGGCTGATCACGAGAAGCACCACGCTATGAACAGATTAAACAGTAAACAATTCACAGAAAAACTCTCCATAATATGGGAACTACGCTATGAACTGATTAAACAGTAAACAATTCACAGAAAACTCTCCATAATATGGGAACTCATTAGCCGTCTATATTACAAAATTGAATGTTTATAACATAATATACTCTGCAGTTTTCCTGGATAAATGAATAGAATTTATTATATTCATTCAGGAAGGGAAATAAAGCAAAAGCAAAAATTTCTTCTTACATAACAGAAATAATGTTAGCTAAAACGTGTGCAACAAACCATTAGGAGTTTTCCTGGATAAATGAATAGAATTTATTATATTCATTCAGGAAGGGAAATAAAGCAAAAGCAAAAATTTCTTCTTACATAACAGAAATAATGTATGCTAGCTAAAATGTGTGTAACAAACTATTAGGGGCCATTTGGGAACTGGAAATCTATTACATGAAAATAGATTGCACAGAAGTATGACATTTCTGTTGTTTGGGTAGGGTACACTTTAAATGGAAAAAGATTACACAGAAATATGACATTTCTGTTGTTTGGGTAGGGTACACTTTACACTTTAAATGGAAAAAGATTACTTGAGATTTTCCCAAAAATCAGGAAATCTATTACGAGCGGTGAAAGGTGAAAAATCTATTTCGCATTTGACAGGTAATCGGGAGAAATCTTAAAATAAAGGGTAAAAAATCTATTTCGCGTTTGACGGGTAATCGGGGGAAATCTTAAAATAAAATAAAAATAAAACGGGGTAAGCCCATATATTTAAACCTCAAAAATCACACACCAGCCCCAACAAAAACCCACCAAAAACCTGCCAATCTTCTTCAACTAGATTCCCAGCAGCCCCTTCTCCCCGCCAGCCCCATCTTCTTCAACTAGATTCCCAGCATTCTTGGTCTGTGAAGATGCGTTGTTAGGTGCTCCATTTTCCCCATTGAGGCCGAACCTCAACTTGTGCTCGAGAGGTAGCTGTCCATACACTTCCCCCCGGACCGCCCGAATCCCACGAGTGAATAGAAAGTTGGATCTACATTGGATCTCACCTGAATCGCCCCATCTATCCTCCTGAGGAGAAGTTTGGTTTCAAACTCCAGCTCGAACAGGAGGAGTATGCCATGCTAATGTGCCATGGATGATCCACATCTCCGGGTCAGGCGCTGCACATTGAACTATCCATGTGGCTGAGAGCCCTCACAGCCCAAGCACAACGACGCAATTATCAGGGCCGTGCTCTACCACTGAGCCAATAGCCTGTCGTGCAGGCCAGGCCTCCCCAGTGGGGAGGCTTGCTATACAGGAAGCGAGAGAAAGCCATCCCTCTCTTTCCTTTTTACGTTCCCATGTCCCTGCCAGCCCATCTTCTTCAACTAGATTCGCGCGGCAGCCCCTTCTCCAACCCCTTCTCCAGCCACTTCTTCAACTACCAGCCGCCCCATCTTCTGCAACCACAGCGCCATCTTCTGCCACCATCTTCTTCAACTAGATTTTCGGCAGGCAACCACTTCTTCAACTAGATTCTAAAACCCGATAGCCCATCTTCTTCAACTAGATTCCCGGCTGGTAACCACTTCTTCAACTAGATTCTAAAACCCGGCAGCCCATCTTCTTCAACTAGATTCGAAAACCCGGCAGCCCATCTTCAACTAGATTCCCGGCAGGCAACCACTTCTTCAACTAGATTCTAAAACCAGGAAGCCCCATCTTCTGCAACCATATTTGTAGATATTGCAATCACTTCTTCAATTAGATTCTAAAACCGGCAGCCCCTTCTGCAACCACTTCTTCAACTAGATTCTAAAACCCGGCAGCCCACTTCTTCAACTAGATTCTAAAACCCGACAGGGGCCATAGATATTGCAACCACTTCTTCAACTGGATTCTAAAACCCGGCAGCCCATCTTCTTCAACCACATTTGTAGATATTGTTTATTTCTAGATATCCAAGATTTATTTTTTGGGTTCTATAACATCTTCTGCAACCACATTTATAGATATTGTTTATTATATCCAAGATTTATTTTTTGGGTTCTGCAACACCATAGTTGGTGCTAGTAGCTATTGTTCCAAAAAATAAACGGATTTGGGTTCGCTCAGATCAGTCAGTTTATTTTTTTGGCTTTGTTTTTTATTTTTTATTTTTTCCTGCCATTTCAGTCAGTTTATTTTTTTGGCTTTATTTTTTATTTTTTATTTTTTCCTGCTATTGTTTGCTGATAAATTCGAAATACTTAGAGTTCACTCATAGAAAATCGTCGTCAAATCAGTGTGCTTGAATTGTTTTTTTTTTTCCAGAACTTTTTTAAATTAATTTACCTATTCAATCTCCTTCAATGCCCCAACATAATTTCTCCTACAACATATCTCATTTTAGTCATAAAGCCTACTAAGTTACTGGCCAAATTTCTCCAAACTTCTTTTTTTCCTATTGAATTTGCCCATGGAAGTTCTCTTTTCTGGAGAGATGATCGAAAGGCTTTAACACAAGAGAAGAAAACATAAAAATATGATGGCTTATCATAATAAAAGTGCTAAAAAGAAAACATAAAAAATATGATGGCTTATCATAATAAACGTATATTATTCCAAAGTCTTAACATCTTGAAAACATGTGATTCCAAGTCAAGACGCAAAGGCATACAAAAGGTGTGGCTAATTCTTATACCTAATGCAATTATAAAGTTTAAGTTACATACTAATAGGAATAAAGTTTAAGTTACATACTAATAAGGATTGTACGCTCAACCATGTTTTGGGTATAAAGCCAAAAAAAAAAAAAAATATTGTTGGTAATGCATTTCCCATATTTCTTCTGGACATAGCCAAACAGTAACAATGTATTTCCCAAGTTGCATCTAAATACCACCCAAACAGTAACAATCCATTTACAGGTAATGTATTACGCAATAATGTATTACGCTAGTAATATATTTCACAGACAATATATTTCCAGGTATCCAAACGGCCCTTTAGTGTCATGGAGTTTCACGTACAACAATTTCATATCCAGTGTTCACAAACTCGAACCGGAACGTTAACCAGACATGGGCCTAGAAGCGGTTTATCCGGCCTAACCGGTAAACCTACCAATTCAACCGCTCTAATCGGGCAAGTCCCGGGTAGTCAAAAAAGTGTTAAAAAAAATAAAAAAGACACAAAAAAAATCTACTAAAATGGATTTTACCGAATTCATTTGTACCTAGGGGTATTTTTAAAATTTTTTGAAAAAGATGGAAAAATATAAAAGTGAGTATTGATGACCAAAACAATTTTTAATCTTTACCATAATGTAAAGAATATTAAAAAATGCATTCCAAATAAAATTCCTTAATTTTAGGAATTTATATACATGTTTTTGAAGGGTGCAGTTTGTATAGAGCCTAGGCTCTAAACAATCAAATTAGAGCCTACCTTCAAATAATGTCGAGAAATCTGGTTTTGTTACCGGAAATCTTTGTGATAGCCTTAAAATATATTTTCATATTTATTTATAAAGTTCAAAGCTTCAAAAATAGTGTAGAACGATAGATCTATGAAAACTTGAAAATCTTGAAAATTGAAGGTCTAAAAATGTATTACAACATACACTATTTCCAAAACTTGAAATCCATTTTTTTTCTCATGTCCATGCATCTTGATGTCGAGATGATCAATTTGAAGATATTTGAGCATCAAAACAACCTCTTCTAATGAACTTTTTGAGGTAGGCTCAAATTTGATTGTTTAGAGCCTCGGCTCTATAAACGTTTCCCTTTTTTGAAATTTTTAAATACCGGTTGATCACCAAAACCGCCCAAAACCGGAACCAGCCACTGGCCGGTTCCGATCTAACCGGGCGGTAAGCGATTGGATTGCCCGGTTTTGCAAACACTAGTCAGGACCAGTGTTCGCAAAATCAAACCAGAACAGTTAATCGGACAAGGTCCAGAAATGGTTTAACCGGCCTAACCGGTAAACCGGCCGATTCAACCGCTCTAACCGGACAAGTCCCGAAAGTTAAAAAAAAGTATTGAAGAAAGTAAAAAAGATATAAAAAAAATCTACTAAAATATGAAAAGCATATAAAGAATGATTAAAACAAAGCACACTCGAATGAAGTTGAAAACTAATGAAAAAAATGGATTTTAACGAGTCAATTTTTGCCTAGGAGTATTTTTAAAATTTTCTGAAAAAGATGGGAAAATATAAAAGTGAGTATTATTGGTCAAAACAATTTTTAATCTTTACCATAATGTAAAGAATATTAAAACAGTGTTAAAAAAATCGACTTGACTAACTCTTTTTTTTTTAAGAAAATGAAGAAAAAATTAAGTTACATATAACATAGGCCCTTCTTTTTATCAACCAAGTAGTAAATGACATATCGGTTAGTGCGCCTAATATTAAAGGACCTCTTTATAAGAGGTTTCTAATTCGATTCCGACGGGCAGTTATTTTTTTTTAACTCTTTTGAAGTCGAATAAAATGAAGTCTTAAAAAAAAACGCTGCTGGCGGCAAGATTCAAACCGTGATTGACGTAAAACTTAATCGTCAAAGCTAACCAGTAAACCATTCTAGTATATCTTATATGAATTTGAAGTAGCATTCTATTCAAAGCTTAAAATACCGGTTGATCACCAAAACCGCCTAAAACCGGAACCCGCCACTGGCCGGTTCCGGTTTAACCGGGCGGTTAGCGGTCAGCGATTAGATCGGCCGGTTTTGCAAACACTGGTCATGACACACCAACTTTCACAAACTTAGAAACGACACTAGTTGCATGTAGAAATCAAACAAACGATATATAAACATATATTATACAAGGTAATGTTCGAAACAGTGGCAGATCTGAAAACCTAGGAGATATTGACAAATGATAGAATGATTGAAAGAATCTTGTATAAGATTCCAAAACTGATTTCAAAACAGAATTTGAGCATCTATGCTCAAATAATCAGTTTGAAAAGACTGGGTAGTAATTTCGTCTTTTAAACATAAAATACTTAAACGCTCATTTCCAGACAACCAAGAATGAAGAATAACAAGGGCTGTCATTCATTTAACATATCGCAAGGTCATTGGTCTTTTGGGAACAAAGTATTTCATTTAACTACATATTGCCATGGACTTTATTCTGAAGAATAAATACAATGTTGAAGAAACATTTTATCAAAACCATAATATGTGAAATGACACAAACATGTCCAATTAAACAAATATAGAAAAAAAAAATTTAATTGATAAACAAATGCAGGAACTAATCATGTGTCTTTTTGAAGGAAAAAAGCCAAAAACAAGCGGCACAGAAATAATAAAAAGGAAAAGAGTGGCTCTATGGTACCTCAGGTGGCACTCCAATTGGATCATCCAACAGAGAATTCGAACATGTGATTCCATCAGAACCAAGCGTGTCAAGCTTCACTTCTGAACGGCGACTTGACTCAGAACCCAAACTTTGTGAGTCTTCAGAACGTTTTATTACCCTAGGTGGTAAATTCTTTGAGTTTAATTCATTGTCTGAATGCCATCCATTAAGCTGTGCAGGAGAATTCACGTCGCCATTTCCTGTGTCTTTGACATGACCCTCATCTTCAGAGGGACTGCGAGAACCTTCAATGCGACCATAGCTTGAGCTATGCTTTTGTATCTCATCTTCATTCCATGGCAAGCTCATATAGCGATCTGTTAATATTGAACATGTTTCATGAGGAGATGATGATGATCCAACAACTTTACGTGAAACATCTTTTAACTGGCGAAAAATATCATCCATGGCATCATCCACATTAACTGTAGAACACACAGAAATAAATGTCAAGGCTATGAACAAATTTCTTTTATTTATTTTTGTGATTTCTGTGTAATGAAAAAAACTGTTTTGCATTCTATTCCTTCCATAAATTAACTTTCCATGAAAAAAATATGGCGCTAAGTAGTGGGGCCTATGCTATTATGCATGATTTGCGACAAAACACCATGAAGTAATTAAACAACTTGCTCTGAATAAAAAACATTCAAGCACCAGGATGCGCATGTTACTAATAGCCGTGTCCACCATAATTGATTAAATTTTATAATTTGATTTCAACTGCACTGTCGCCTAACATCCTAATGAAGGCCAGCAGAATGCTATCATTAAGTAAGGAGACAAGAATCTAAGGGTTGAGTGAATAGCCAGCCAAGAGATGCCACTGACGGTCCCCATCCTCATTCAAAGAACGGCTAGAAGTGTGCCCAGCATTTGATGCAATAATTTGTTCAATTATCAGTTCATGCAGAACCATATTCACTAAATGATTGCCAGGAACAAATTTAGTTGTATTCAATACATGTTCTCTTCATATACCTTAAAAAATGTAAATAAGTTCAACAAGGAAAAACCCATGGCGCAACTAAAGAAATGCCAAGAAATAAAGTCCAAACCTGCCAATGTTTTCATCACTGAAGGCGTCTTTCCAAAAGAATAGTTCTGACAAAAAGAAGATATGCCCATCAGATGGTGGTGTAAATCATTTGCTTTTCAAAGCAGCCTACGTTATACAATTAGCACATGAAAATAAACACATGTTCAGCTACAGCTACACACAACAAGATATTATCAGAGGCACCAGACACTGGTTCTATGCTAATATACCTTTGAGGATACACTCAAAAAATCCCACACTTCATGTTGTTCCGCAACATTGGATATGGATAACAGATCCTGTTAAACCTCTGAAATTAGATACAAAGGAAAAATAACATAAAAGGCTCCTAATAAGAATTCAATATCAAATTTTAGCATACAAACCCATACTTGCAAATATTTGTCAAGCAGAATGCATCGCTGGTGAACAAAATAATCATCAATACTTGATGAAAGAAATCTTTTAGGGGGCAAATGCAATGAGTAGTTTGGTATATCCTTCAGGTGTCGGTGCAATCTCTCGAAGTTTCTATATCTGCAAATGCAACACAACGATAACAAGACATGAGGTCAACAGAAACTTTCGCTTCCCTTCACGTGTACAGAGAAAAGCCCACAGTAAAGAATGGACTAAAAAATTGCCATTTTCTTAATGCAAACTGAAATGTGGTTGGAGAACCTGAGTACCTTCTTTTTACAAACCAAGTCTTATTTTCCACATTTGTCACAGCAATTGAATAAACCGCAAACGATTTAGAACCACTTTTCTCAAAATAAGCTCCAACAACCTGCATGAGCGATGCGAAATAAGAATGGCAAGACATGACCAGAGAGCTCATCATAAAGATGAAAATAGAACTCCTATGGTGCAGCATATGACATACACTCGCTCCGTTCAGTATGTTTCTAGTAAATCTATTAAAAACTATGTGGACATGCCTGCAAACATAAACAAATCTAAACAATAGTCTACATGAAAATCTATTGTACATTGAATATCCATGGAAGTTTTAAACCTCCATTTCCCAGAATGATTACAAGTAAAGAAGTTGGTGCATACCACTGTTTCAAAAAGCGCAAGTCGGCACCTAGGCGGTCGGGGGTCCAGGCCGCCCAGCGCCTAGGCGGGCACCCAGAACCTGGGCAGCTTAGTAAATTTTTTTTTTTTGGTTTTCTCTCTCTAAAATAGCCTATAATGGGTTTTATGTTTCACACCTAAAACCCACAATTTTGCCCATTTAGTATTAAAAACAATGACCCAAATCAATGAGCTGCGTTTCTGCCCCGCATTTCCGCCCCTGGGTGAGGTGGAGGCCCTGGACAGCCGCCTAGGTGGGTTCAGGTGGGCGCCCAGGGATATCCGCCTAGGCGGGCACCCAGGCGTTGGGTAGGGTCCGCTTCTTGAAACAGTGGTGCAAACCATGGTACAAATAGTATGGAGTACAATATACACCTCAATTCAAATGTAAAACACTTGACAAATTGGACCAGCCATACACAAACATTGCAACAAAACTCACTCGACACTTCAGTTTGGGGGCATGAGGAGATCCATCACTTGGCACTACCATCTCTGAAGCACTCCTCAGAACGGGCCCCATTTGTTGAATGTTAAAAGTTGGATCTTCAGCACCTCCAGTGGCTAATGCTTTACCCATATCATACAGAGCAGAAGTGCTGCTTCCTGATCGTTTAAGTGGCCTTTTGTTGTTTCCAGTATTCCGACTAGTATTTTCTTCAATAGAAGCTTGAACACCTTTGACATTGGGCTCCTTGCTTAGTTCTTTAGACACCTTTACGATATCCATCCCACTTCCTTCAGCAATAGAGGTTGTTGCATGCAATCCTGTTGTACTTTCATCGGCCACTCTTGAGCGCTTAATTGATTTGATCGCAACGTCTTTTCCTCCTTTATGATCATGCTCCCTTGATTCAGCACCTCCTGTAGTCTTTGCAGGAGGCCTCAAACCAATAGGTTCTGATGACAACCCTGTTTTATCAGGGATCATACTTTTGTTCTTATAGTTTCTTCCTCTAGCCCAAAGGTTTTCAAGATTTTCAGGAGCAAGGACTTGAGTTCTTCTTTGCTGTGCAGCATCCAATATTCTAGCCCAATCTGCAGGACGTGGTTGCAACTGATGCAGTGATGGTGGATTTCCAGTGTTAAATGTATTCAATGACATTGCATCACTACTTTTAGCTGGGATCAAATCCTTTCTTTCAGAAGGGGACGTGCCAGTCTGGCTTCTGTCAGGCTCAACTTTTGCCAAAACCCCACTTGTACCACCATGACTGCTCATGTGATTTGAAGTATCGGCATGATCGCTGCTTATCTCTGTGCTTTGATATTCCTTGGAGGAGAGGACGAGATATTCAATTAACTCATTGATATACCTGAAATGAGAAGTCATACTTAAGCTACTATCCTTGATATATAGTAGCTAATGAAAACTAGGATAAATACCCAAGAGATGCCGGTTTTTTAAAAAATTTGGAAGGTAGCTTTAGCTCTAAGACATTTACTGGCATAAATTCAAAAAATAAACATGAAGTGATTGGTAGAGGTCCAGATATGGATGGCGGCGGTAGAGGACGAGTTGGAGTTTGGACACACCCAGGGGTGATATGGGAGCTTAGGCAGGTGGTGGGGTTTGACCTAGCCTGTCCAGAGAGCAAGATTTTCTAAATTTTCTTTTTTTTTTTTTATTTCATTTCTATTACTATTAACACTTAAAGTATTCTGCCATTGTTTTAAGTCACCTATTTCTTCATTTTCATTTGTTTTCCATATCTTCATGCAACAAATTCATGAACTGGGATACTTTATATCTTAAATTATTGGACATATAAATTGTATGTTCTCTTCTAGATCCTTTTTTCCAATTTCATTAATTCTTTTATATTTAATGCTTATAGATATCCTTTTAGGGGGGAAATGATGCATCAAAGCTTAAGATTAATACCCAGCTTCCCTTGTTTGAATTTCCAGAACTTATGAGGAAGTTCATTTCTGATAAGAAATCACAAAGAATGATCAACACTAGGAGAAGAGCAGCATATATAAATCGACTTCAGCTGACAGACACCAATGACGTTCCGTAACTAAGAATTTTATTGAGATGGACAGAGTCATCTAGGTTAGCCACCACAAGATTTCTAATCTCAGTCTAAAGAGTGATTTCCACAGTCACTATAGACAATGTATATGCTCAGAATTGTAACTCCCAAGGTACAGAAAACATGGCAGAAAAATGAACCACAAAAGGATATGACAAATAAAAGAAGGGAATTCTTTTTCTTTTTCCTTTTGAGGAATGTGTAATTCTTCATGCCAGAAAAGAGAGAACCTTCATGATCTTTCAAAGAATGATATCTAAATATGTCCATAGGAGAGAAATGAATAGATTGACTTCTGGTTAAGGATAAGAAAATATGCAAATTAACAAACAAAAAAGATATGCTTCTGAAGCCATGTGCAAGTCCTTTGCTAATGGGTCTCAAAATCTTGGGGATGCTTCAGTTAATAGGAAGTAACTTAGAAACCAGAGCACTAAGCACATGGAAAGTCAGAAGCCACAGCACTAAGCATATGGAAAGTTAATAGTTGCCTGGGTCTATTAGGAGTCTATCCAGAGACTTACCCGGGGCTTGCAAAATTCATCACAGGCTGCATAACTATGCAGGTTAAAAATTCACGGCTGATGCTTCGTGCTAGAGGGCACCAAGCTTCTTGTGGTCTTAAAACAATAGCCAAAACTCCTGCCATAAGCCGGTGGAGAACCTATATGTTCCAATTCCCCAAACATAAGTAAATTCGAAGGGCAAAACTTGATGGTTGGCAAAACTAAAATAGTGATCAAAACAACTCCACTCACACCTTGTACTCACACTCGGGAGAAAGCAAAGCTGGGTGAAGCTCCTTGGAAGCGATCAGATGACGTAACAACCTTTCATCCCTCTCTTCAAATGATAGGCTCCCCATTACTTTTTCACCAATGGCTGATTGATTTTTTCTGTAAAGGTCTAAGTGGTTCCCTACCAAATCAACCACATCCCTGAAAAAGTAAAACAACATTTTTCACAACTAAAACAAGCACCTCAAATATCAACTGATGTTTAAAAGCTTGGTCTATACTTGCAAAAGCACTTTAAAATCACCTTGTTAACAAGTCCACAAGATTAATTCCTTTAACCCTTTGTGCTACTTCACCAATTACATCATTAATTAGTGCTCGAGTCAGTTCAGGGACCTCCTTGTCAGGGGTGATTTCTGAATACCAAAGGTCCACCATGAAGTCTTGAATAATTTTGGAAATAAAATCATCGATTGCAGCCTCAACAACAGGAGATTCAAGTTTCCTCTTCCAACTTGTTGTGATTGGGGGAGAACAGAGACGAGGATCATCAACAGATACTTGCCGGTTTCGCAAATGCGACAAATAGGATGCCTGACGAACTGGTCGGCGTTCCTTCCATCGAAATTCAACCTCATAGAAGAGCATGCGGAGACCAGAAAACATGAGAAAGGCGATGGGGATGTTCATCCAAATCGATTTGCTTGTCACTGCCATCAAACACAAGAATCACATTTGACAATGCAGTAGAAGCAATTAGACGCATAAAATTCATAAAGTAAGAATAAATTTGAATATAATCCTACCGAAGAGATTTTGCCAACAAAAGGGAACACCATTAATTCCAATAGGACAGAACTAAGAAGTTAGCTCAAGGAATATCCAAACCACCCTTTTATTGTCAAGAAAGTCTTCCTGCCTAGCTACACTTCTCTGATGGGGCAACCACTAAAAAGCAATATCCAACCAATCAAATAAATAAACAACTAGATAAGAAGATATATGATTTTTTGTTTAAGTATTTGATTCAAATGTTGCAAATAATTCGATAAAAAGATATACAATTTCAGTCATTGAAGTCTTTGATTCACATTGTTGCATTCTTAACGAACTGATGATGTCTGGTACCACAGAAAACATTCCAGCAAACTATAATTCATGATATGAAACCAAAATTCAAAACAGAAGTTCAATGCCACCAAGTTGCATTACAAACACTAGGAACCATGCTTAGGGCGAGATTTAATTTAAGTTCACATAAAATGACTTTGATTCATCCAGTAGAACATATCACAATACTGGAAGCATAATCTTGGCGGACACAAATTCAATCACATAACTACAACACATGCATTTCGTAATCTTGGAAACTTATATATCTGGTTCCTTATTATAAAATCAAGCAAAAAATCACAATTCAACTTTCTGTTTAGGAAAAAGGGCCAAATTCTGGACTCGGTTTTTCGTTAGGAAATAGTAATGTTCCATCTTCATTAAGCCCAACTACATTCATCTCACATTTAGCACTCAATATTTGCTCCTAGACCACGTTCACATGGGTATATATCTCAAAGCAAAAGCACTTGACTCTAAATATCACTAGATCAACAAGTCAAAAATTCATCAAAATATGTCACAGACAAATTAAAAGTTTAAAACTATACCAACTAGACCTTTTGCTAAAACCAACTGGATTACAAACACCATTAAAGTCCAATTTATAACATATTAGTTGCCAAGTTGAAAAGAAAACCAAAGCAATCTGAAAATATTAAATATAATCCAGAAAGGATATAACCCAAATTCCTTATCGATATGGGGAAACCATACAAACCCCAACTAAAGTAATTAGAACATGCCATGGATCACCAACCTTAACAGAGATAAATATAGAATGAGGAAGAGAACCCAAAGCAGTTTCTCAAAAGCCCAAATAAGACAGAATTACGTATAGATAGATGGATAGAAAGAGAGAGAGAATTTGGCAGAGAAGAGAATTCGGAGAAGAAAGAGAGAAATTCACTTACTCGACAAGAAATTCGCAAGCCCGAACACACAGATGCCCCATAGAACAGTCCGGACCTTGGCCTCCTCGATCAGATCTTGCAAGCTCTCCATGGCCTTCATGGTCCCCAACCTGCAAATTCTATCCGTCTCCACCAGAGAATCTGATTCATAACCTAATAATTAGGGATTCCACTTCTAGACCCTAAAAATAACACCATTGCTGACTAAGAATCAAAGAAAGCCATGTTCTTCCACCTCATGCCGCTTGACTGGTAAAGACTTTTAAAACATACCAGGAAAAGCATTATTCAATAGACCCAAACATCCTGGAATTTACAGTGCCATCAATAGAAGTTCAAAAAGGAACCTAGAATTTACAGTGCCATTCAATTTAAGCGTACAAATAATCTTGAATCACAGCCCTAGAATTTATAGTCAGGGATTTTCTATAGGGTGCGGTTTTCATAGGGCCTGGGCTCTATACCATCAAATTAGAGCCTACCCTCAAATGGTGTCCAGAAATGTGGCGTCGACAAATGTGGTAGCTTTAAAATATATTTTTATTTTTATTTGTAAAGGTACGAGCTTCAAAATAGATCGATATATATGTGAAAGCTATAAAATTTTTTAAAATCGTTCAAAATTTCTATATAAAGTACATTATTTTCAAAACTTGAAATCTATTTTTTTCTCGTATCCGTATCTATACAGATAATTAATTTAAGGATATTTGGACATCAAAAAAACTTCTTCAATCAAAAATAACTTCTTCTATTGAAAGTTTTGAAGTAGACTCTAATTTGATTGTTCACAACCAAACTTTCCCCTTCTTTATACGTATCTCTCAGTATTTACAATACTAAATAATTTCCGCTCACCTACTCCTCCTGTGTACGCTAAGTAGAGACTGGCATCTATAAGGGTATGAAGCTTTGATAAGGCCTAGGCTTTATGAAAATAAAATAAAGCCTCACATCAAATCTTAAAAACACTTTCGGCAACCTCTAAAATCAATTTTCAATACCAACAATAAAATTTGAAACTCAAAAAATAAAAAAGACTTTATAGATCCTTGAACACTTATTTTTAGGGTGAAATGAACACTCTAATTAATTTGTTACAAAATACATTATTTTTAAGGGTGTGGTTTGTGTAAGGTTGCAACCCTAAACGATACAATTAAGACGTACCTCCAAATTTTATTATAACATGTAATTTTGGTGTAAATTTTTTTTAGGATTATCTAAAAAACTATTTTTATCTCTAATTATAAAATTTTAAACTCCAAAAATAGATAAAATCAAGTAGATCTATGAACATATAAAATTGTTGAAAATAGACGGTCTAGATAATATGCTGCATCCACTATTTATGGGACTCAAATTCTTTTTTTTTTTCTTATTCATACATCTTGATGTCTAGATGAACAATTAGAGGTTTTTTTTCAACATTAAAACAACCTTTTTCAATAAATTTTTAAGGTGCATCTTTAATTCTACATATTAAGGTTGCAACCTTATATGAACTTTTTCCTATTTTTAAAGCTTAAAATCCTAAAATTTTCTCACAACCTTAATTTCAAGTCGAGATGATCAGATGTAAATGTTTTTCAGTACTTCAATTGTGATTTTCAAAGAGTCATGAGGTGAGGCTTTATTTAAGCGGAATGAAATAAAAAGGTGCCTTTACGTAAGGCCGCGGCACTATTATATTGTACGTAAGGCCGCGGCACTATTATATTGTAAAGCTTCTCCTTAACTATCGGAATCTAAAAATCTATCCATCCTATGAAATTTGAATCATCAAATAGTAGGAATGGACGGTTCAAATAATATATTGTAAGTCATGCACGTTCTTCCATGAGCATACTTGGGGGAATTTTTTTATTTGGATTTTGTGATCCACCATAAAAATCATTAAATGATTATTTTCAAATAAAAAAAAGATTTGAAGTTTTTCAATACTTAGATCCTGCCCTCTAAAAAATTGATATTTATTATTGGGATATTATTTTCTTCAGTACATGAGATATTCATATTCGTATTTTTATTTGTTTTGGAGGTTAGTCACCGTGCAAGAGGTTACATCCTTAAAATTAAGGGTCCTAAAAATATTTCTTGTTTGAGATTTACACGAGGGAGTAAGTAAACAGCGTATGCCCGGGTAATTAATGTTTTCGCTATGTTACAATATACAACATTTTAATGTTCGAGCTTTTATTATATTTTTCATGTTGACTAATGTTGAGGTTGAGATGATCACATTGAAAGGGGTCATATACTCAAATTGCTATTTCCATGAATTTAAGCTCGGCTTTGAGGGAATGGGTCGTGGTGATACTACCACTTTTAATTCCCACCAATGTATTCGAAAACCACTAACTATTTTTAAAAATAAAAAAGTTTATATAAAGTGTCGTCGTTATAGCATAGGCTAAGGCGCACTTAAAAAATCGACTAGAGAAGGTTGTTTTATGCTGAAAAACCTTAAAATCGATCATCTCGACCTCGAGGTTTAAAGACATGAAAAAAAATGGATTTTTAGTCTTAAAAATAGTTCATCTTCTAATACATTATCTGGATCATCCATTTTCAAGATTTTCAAATGTATATAGATATACTTGATTATCATCATTTCTAGAGTTTTAAATTTCATAATTGGGGGCCAACAATATATTATCATCGCAAGGGCTTTGCGGTACCGAAACTACATTTTCAGCATAATTTTGAGATACGCCTTACTTCAATAGTATAAGGTTGATACCTTATACCAACCTTATACCAACCTGGCCTTTCTAAAACTGATCTACCCTAATCTACCCAAAACAAACGCTCCGCTTTACAAAAGATGCAGCCATGTGCTATCTTTTGAGGGGAATGATGGAGACAACGACTTTAACTTTATATAAAGGGTGCGGTTTGGTTTGCGTAGAGCCAAGGCTCTAAAGAATCAAATTGGAGCCTATCTTCAAATAGTATTTAAAAAAGTAGTTTCAATGCTGGAAAACTTTGTGATAGTCTTAAAATATATTTTTATTTTTAATTATAAAATTTAAAGCTTCAAAAAAAGTGTAGATCAAGCAGATTTATCACAACTTGAAAATCTTGAAAATTGACAGTAAAAAAACACGCTACAAGATGCACGATTTCTATAACTTGAAATCTATTTTTTTTTCTCATGTACATGCATCTTGATGTCAAGATGATCAATTTAAAGATATTTGGACAACATAACAACCTCTTCTAGTGAAAATTGTGAGGCCCGGCTCTAATTTTATTGTTTAGATCCTTGGCTCTATGTAAACTTTTCTTTAGCACACTAAATTATTGATACATGAGAACCATGCATTTTCCAAAATCATGATATCTGATTAGGGGTGGAAATGGGACCATATCCGACCCAAGACCCATCAAGTATACCTGACATGGGTCCAGGTGTGGGTTCAATATTTGGACCCAGGAGGTTGGGTCCGGGTCCAATTGGACCCATCCCGTACTCGTAAACTGTTAGAGATAAAATACTTCATGCCCTATTTGTTTGGGTGTATTAAGGATCGCATATAATAAGAACTCATAATCATCTTTAGCTATTAAACAATAATTAAGACGGGGCTTGATATTTAATGACGGGTGATTGTGACCTTATTGCGAATAATTTGGGTATATGATGGTAAAGAAATGGCAAAAAAAAAAAAAAAACTCATAATGTGGGTGGCAATAGACTTGACCAGACCATCCGACGAAAACGGGTATGGATCCAACTTTTGGACCCAATGGGTCGAGTTCGGGTCCAAAATATGGACCTGATTATATTCGGGTCTGGGTCCGTATCCAGCCGGACCCGACCCGTTGCGACCCCCATATCTGGTACTCAAAGTTGGCAACACAAATAACTTATTATTATAGTAGACAATAGACCAAGAAAAAACTATGCCAACCAAGTTACTAATCATGCAGGAGCCTACTATTCATTTACTCCCGTGGGTATAACACATGCTCGAATGCAGTAATGTTTTATAGATCTTAAATTTTGGGCGTGTAATATCTGCACCTCGTAAACTAATCTCAATAAAAAAAAATTATAAAATAAACCCTCAATGTACTAAAAATAAAAAGGCGTCAAGATATAATAGAGAAGACCTAGATCTAAGTGTTCGAAAGCTCAAAATTCAAATTGTTTTCTTTTGATAATAATCATTTAGCAGTTTTTACGTAGTTCCTAAAATTTGACTAAAATAATATTGTTAAATAGGTGTTCGGCATGAGGGAGTAGATGCATAATATGTTCCTGTGGGTGCATAATATACATACTCAAAAACTATTTATTTGTTTATTAATTCACTTGTGTTGCACCAAAAAGGGCAAAAGATTATCATACTTCGACAAATACCGAAAAGTATGTGGGGAAAGTATGTTATAATCTAACAGCCAACCAGAAAATCATAACAAGCTATGTCATCATCATCCATCAGTTCAACGAAGGGTGGTGATTTGAGGGACTACGTTTTTTCATTTCTCCATATGATTATGGAGCATTTTCCCTCAATCGTGGTCTAATAAAGGAAAACAGTTTGGTGTGGGGGTCAATTGACATGCCAATGTTTTTGAAGAAGTTAGGACTCAAAGCGTACCCCAAACAAAATTTTGCTTTAGATCTATAATTGAAGCTCCAAAAAGTGCATATTTTTTAGATCTAAAACCGAATGGTTCAGGGAAAAAAAAACTAAATAGAGACGTGTAGCTTTTGGATATGGGTTAGTCGTATGTGGGTGATTTGAGATTAGCCTTCACGTTTTAATTGGTAGATTTGTTTTATTAGGAAAAGATGTATCACTGGGGTGACGTGGTTATCCGAGGAAGTAAGAGTAGTTGTGTTTATCTTTAGTTTTTAAGAAATATATTTTGTTTTTTATTTTAAAATGAGTGTTATTTTTTTGTGTTAGGTTGAAATTAGGGAAAATAATGAGTAATGTACGTGAAAAGGATGAAATAAGGAGTTGTCATTATCTTTTATAGAAGAATACGGAAAGAGTCTAGAGATAGATTTATTTTGATTAGTTATTCTTTTTTGTTTTTAGTAGAGAGATATATTAGGGGTTTATCTTTTGAGAATCAGGTGAGGAGGTGATTTACGTGTATAAGAAAAGGCACTCACCATGTAATGAGGGTGATGGGAATTTGATGGAATAAAGAAAGTTTTATTTGGAGAGAGAGACCATTTGTAGTTGTTTATTTTCTTGAGTTTGGTCCGAGTCAAAATACTTTTTTTTTTTTTATAGATGTTCAGAGTTATTATTAATCAAGAGTTAAAAGAGATTACAGAGTTTGAGACCATAGTCTCTGGTAAAGCAGAGCCACATTTTGCAAGACAATCTGCCATAACATTGGCCTCACGAAAGTCATGAATAAAATAATAGAAAAAAAGATGCCTTACAAAAGACATGAATAAAAGAATAGGAAAAAGACATGGACAGGTCTCAAATTTGTAGAATAATCGAG